TACTAAGTATTTGTGTGGAAGATATTATTTGTAGTTAAAATTGATTTTTTTTTTTTTTAAATGTGTGATTAAAGTATGAAAAATTATGGATTCACGTGTAAAAATTATATATTGAAAGAATGTGTAATTAAAAATAAGTTTGAAAAAAATAAATTGTGCCAAACAAAGGCTAATAGAATCTAAGCTCAACATTTGAAGTAGTGAATTAAATTCTTTTTTTTACCATCATTTATAGGCTTTAATTCCAATTCAGGTTTTATATATACCTTTATCTTAGTTGAGGTCGCCTTGTTACTGTTAGTTAATTATTTTAACCATAAAGATGAATTAATTTTAAAATAAGAAACGGTTTAGAGCTTGTTTAAGCCTTTTTTTTTTTTTTAGCTAATAATGCATTTTGCAATGGTATTTTGATGGAAATGTATGGTTAAAAATAAGATTTTTTTTTAAAATTTACGTGTAATATTATTTTATTGAAAAATGTATGATTAAAAATAAGAAGAAAAATATATTTTAAAAATAATGAATAGCACTTAACTTAAAATCTTAAAAAACTAAAAATGTATTCTTAGCTCGGGTTGTTTTTGTTGTTTGGTGGCGTTACTTTGGTGGTGTAGTTGTTGTTGCTCTGTTTGCATTTGATTCTGTTGTATAGACTGTCTTTGTTTTTTAGTGATTGTAGCTTTGGCCGTGGTTGCACTTAATCTCTCTTTGGAGAGCTTTGTGTAGGAGGTTCTCCTTCTTGTATCCGCATTTGTGCCTTTAATGAAATACAAATTTGGTTTCAAAAAAGAAATGGCCATGAATTCTGAAGTGTATCAAATATTTTTAGCAGAAACGGCATACTGTAATCCAGCAAATTGAGTGTCGACAGTGTTTTTGCTTTACTCTTGTTCAATCTAATTCGGCGATGTCTGTTTTCGCACTGCTGGAGNAATTCTGACGCCTGTGTCAGATATTTTTAGAGATACGGCTTAGTGCAATCCAGCAAATCGAGTGTCGACAGTTTTTTTGCTTTACTCTTGTTCAATCTAATTCGTCGATGTCTGTTTTCGCACTGCTGGAGCGATTGGCTCCTCTGATCGAGAGGGAGGTAAATCTGGTCCTCGAATCCAAAAAGGAAGTGGAAAATCTTAGTGGGAAGTTGAAGAAGATCCAGGAGGTGCTGAAGGATGCAGAGAGAACTGGAGTGACTGATTCAAAGGTCAAAAATTGGCTAAAAGATCTCCAAGATGTATCCTACGAAATGGATGACGCTTTGGATGAATGGGAAGCCGCGAATCTTCAACTGCAAATTGAAGGATCTGAGGAAGTTTCTGATCCTTGGGAGAAGGTACTTTCGTTTATTCAATCTCTTTGTTTATGCTTCAAAAATGTAGTTGAGCGTCGTGAAACTAATCTGAAGATAAAGGGGTTGATCGAGAAACTAGATTCGATTGATCAAAAGAAAGATGAGTTTGGTTTTCCTCCAAGTGGTGGCCATGATTTGCAGGAATTTAAGCGAATTGAATCGACTTCTTTTGGTGATTCTGCAATTGTACATGGTCGAAGTATTGATAAGGAAAACCTTATGCAAAATTTGTTGTCAGAGGGGGACAGTGGAGTCAAGATTGTTTCGATAGAAGGGATGGGAGGGGTTGGGAAAACAACTCTTGCTCAAATAGCCTTTAATGATCCTGAAGTTGAAAAACATTTTGAATTAAAAATATGGATTTGTGTTTCAGATCCTTTTGACGAGATTAAGATTGCAAAATCAGTTCTTGAGGCCGTTGGGGAGAATTCCTCCAACATCTCGAAATTGGAAATGTTATTACAACGTGTGAAAAACTCAGTTTCAAAGAAAAGATTTCTTATTGTCCTAGATGATGTGTGGACTCAGGACCGCAAGAGGTGGGAACCCCTGAAAAACTCTCTCAAGGGTGCCCCCGGAAGTAGAATTTTGGTGACGACAAGGAGCGATCGGGTTGCAAGATTGATAGGCACGTTCACACGGCAACCATTGGGCCAACTATCCGAGGATGACTGCTGGTCATTATTGAGTAAGATAGCTTTTGTTGAAAAAAGTAAGGAGGAGCGCGAGAAACTAGAAGATATTGGTAAAAAGATTGCGCTGAACTGCAAGGGGTTGCCACTTGCTGCAAAAACTATGGGAAGCCTACTATGCTTGAAAGATACTGTAGAAGAGTGGCGAAATGTTCTAGAGAGTCCTTTGTGGCAGTTGGAGGAAGTGACGGTTGAGCTTTTCCCTCATTTGTATTTGAGTTACAATGATTTGTCTCCAGTACATAAGCGCTGCTTCTCTAGTTGTGTCATCTATCCAAAAGATACCTTGATACATTTGGATGAGCTTATCAAGCTCTGGATGGCACATGGTTATCTTGGTTCGAGTGGAAATGAAGATCACATGCGAAAGATGGGGTTAGATATCTTTAAGAACCTAGAAATGCGAAATTTCTTTCAAGAGTTGAAAAAGGATAAATATGATGAAAGTAAAATCTCTTGCAAAATGCATGATATAATGCATGACTTCGTTACTTATCTCTCAAAAGATGAGTACATCGAAATCTTGTATGATGGAGTAGAGATTACGAATTGTGATATCGGAAAAGTTCGCACCTTTTGTGCTAGAAATGTTTCTCAAGAACGTCTCCCTCCAAATCTCTTTAGCCGTTTAAAATGTGTTCGGGTACTTATTGCGAGCAATTGTGGTTTGCAAGAAATTCCACAAGAGATAGGAAAATTAATTCACGTGAGGTATCTTGACTTGAGCTCCAATCCTATAAGAGAACTCCCAGAAACCTTGTGTGATTTGTATAATTTGCAAACCTTGGATCTCCGAGAATGTATGGATCTCTCTGCACTCCCTCAAGGGATTTATAAACTAATAAATCTACGACACCTTCTCTTTCCAATCCGTTGGGGTAAGATTTCAATTCCTCAAGGAGTGGAGAGATTAACCGGTCTTTGGATTTTGAGCGGTTTAATTGCAGGAAGAGGATCAAGTAAGTTGGGATATTTGAGAAAACTAAACCAACTTCGAGGATCTCTAGAACTTTTTCTAGGAGAGTCGACTGAGTTAGAAGACTTGGTTGACGCTAAGAAAGCAGAATTGAGAAATAAGATATACATTCAAGAGTTGAGCTTCTATTTTGGACGTCGGGAGGTGGGGGTGGACATAATGGAGGCTCTTCAACCACCTCCAAACCTGCATTGTTTAAGAATGGTTGGATACAAGGGCACCCAATTGCCAGTATGGATCACCACGTCCCTTAACTATTTAAGGGTGCTTCGTTTCGTAGGATTTTATAAGTGCTCATATTTGTCCCCGTTGGGAAAACTGCCGATGCTTGAGAAGCTTGAGATATCATTCATGTGGAGCATGAAATACGTGGGCAATGAATTCTTGGGAATAATGGAGACTATCCAGGAACTACCGAATGCGGGACCTGCATTCCCCAAGTTGAGGAAGTTGTGTTTTGAGCGTTGTCAGGAGTGGGAAAAGTGGGAGGATATAACTGGGGATGAAAAAGACCATCTCTTAATAATGCCATGTCTCAGGGTGTTAAAAATCATTGGTTGCGACAAGTTAAAGGCATTGCCACATTGCCTCCTCCGTATGGCATCGTCTCTGGAGCATTTGACTGTCAGGTCCTCCTTAGGTCTAGCTTCGCTTTATGGGGACAGGACTGGAGACGAATGGGACAAGATATCTCACATTCCCCACATTAAGGTAGAGAGTTTGGAAGATATAAACAGGTATGATTTTTGTTCAAGAGTGTCTGCTCTTATCAGATTTTTTTAATTTTTTTTCGCAGATAGTTTTTCACATTGATAATAAAGTTTGGGGCACCGGAGTGTAAATAACAATATTTTGAGTTGAAAGAAGTTATTGTTTTAAGTTTAAAGGCCTTTCTTTAATGTGCTTTCTAAAATGGTCTAAAGCACGCGAATTATGCTTCCCTATAAAACCCAATTTCTTTATTCTTTTTTCTTTGCTTCCAACTGCCACCACTTCACCCTCTTCTCTTCCGAAAATAAATAAATTTCAATCCTTAGTACGGTTTAATATTTTCAAAAATTGTTGAATTTTGGGCGTTGTTTTCAAAATGTTACATAAAATTTTCTCCTTGAACTCTCTTCATTATTTCGCCTTGTCTTGATGCAAAGTGAATCATTCATATTCAACCAATTCTGTCTGCAAATGTGTACTAACATTTTAGATTTTTATGTTGAATTGTAGGAGAAGATTGCTGCTTCGCAATGAATTGCTGTTTCGCTATAAAGTGATCGAAGCGGATGGCTGTGAAAGTGGGCAGAGTAGTGGAGATACTTCTGGCGGATCTTTGTGTTGAAAAACTATTTCGTAGTTTGTATTTGATTAATATGAATCTTTGTGTTGGTGTGTTAGTCATAAAGTTTGTGAGTTTTAATACATTACATATTTCAATGGTTGGTATTGATTGTTAGATGACTTTAATGTGTTGGTGGGTAGGAAATTTGGTTTTGATATAGATTTTTCGAAATGAACAAGACATGAAAATTGCACCGGATAAAAACAAAATGGCAATGTACGATCTAAGTATTCCTTGTAACAAAATGACACTTGACCGTTTAAATAGCACTTTGCATTTTCAATAAATTTAATTTCGACTTGACTATATTCCTATTTCTATCAACACAAACTCAAAAGAAACAGACTTTCACCATTTGTAAGGGTTTGTTTGGCAAGTTTTGTTTCTTGTAGAAATGTTTCCTAAGAAAACTTTAAAAACTCTGATAAAGTAATTTTCAGAATATTATTCAAAACATGTTTAAAAGTAACTTCTTAGACTCAAAAACAACTTTTGACGTTTTAAAAACCATGTGAAACGGGACC